AGCTGAAGGTCATCAGCCACTTCAGGAATCGACTTCAGATCCTCAGGGTAAGCATCTGGCCTCAGGCGAATAAAAGCTCGAGCTTCCTTCAAGGCATGAAAGTATGAGCCCATAGCATACTCGCCCTTCAACTTGTTGAAGGCGTCAGACTTCTTAAAGTCCTCGACCGCATCAACTTGAACATCGACCAGCTTTGCATCCAATTCTTTTTGAGTGCGCTCAAGCTCGAGTTTGAGATGCTCAACCTCGTCCTTCGCAGTACCGGCCTCATTCTCAGCATTGCGAAGATCATTTCTCATTCTGCTTGCACTCCCTTATCAGCTGAGCACATTCCTCCTCGAGGTCGGTCATTTTTGAAGACTCGTCTTTCCCCTTTAAGGAAAGACCTCGAGCTATGCCCAATGTCTGGAAAAAAGAGCGCGGGCAACTTAACCTCGGGAAGTAAAGATTGCAAAAAATAATAAAAATAAAAAGAAAAACTGTCGACGATCTTACCTTCAAGGCCATAGCCTCGAGAGCCCTCAAGCTATTGCTTAAATCGACATCTGCCCGGTACTTATCAACGATGCTGAGCACGGACTGACATCGGGAGCATCCCTCGGGATTAGCAGGGCCCGGTGGCAGGCATTCATCCTCAAGGTTGACCACGTCAACAGATCCTCGAGGATGAGGCCCTTGAGGAGTCCCCAGAAGGTCTTGTTGCTGAGTTCCCGTCCTCCCTACTCTCGGGGACGGTCTTCGGGGCCTTGATGACTCACCGGGCCCACTTGTCTGCTTTTCAAGTCTCGAATCCCGAGGTCTCTTTTGGCCCCTTCTCTAGCTTGGAGCCCGAGCCTGGGGAGCCTTTGACTTCTTGCTAACTGCCTGACGAAGGGCACTTGGGTCAAACGTCATTTCTGCAAAAAATGATATGTTATTAGCACGAGCATTAATAAAAATATAGGTCAGAAAATTAAAGCATTAAAATCGCGTATCCTACCCTCGATGCCTTTCATGTTTGCAAGCTCGAGGATATCATCCCCGAAGATATCATCCAAATCATAAACGAGGGGCTCGAGCTCCTCTAGCATTTGCCTATGCCTCTCCAACGACTCAAAATACGCCTGACCCCCACAAAACCTAGCAGTATCGAGCACCCCCCCACCGAGGACTAAAGGGAATTTCGGGATCTTGAGGTATAGCATAAAACCACTTATCCTTCCACCCTTTCAGGGAGCTAGGCATCCTCGGGATTCTAAACCCTCCTCGAGTTGAGAGATAGGCAAAACAAGAGTACTTAGGGAGTTGTTTTAGGTCGAAAACCATCCTACATAGGTCGACATACGGGATAATCCCGAGGTATCTACAAGCAATAAAAAAATATGTCAACATCCTCCACCCGTTGAGCACTAATTGCCCCGGACTCATATTATACTCGGTCAAAAGTGCGAGGAAAAAAGGATGCAGTGGCCACCTAAATCCCCCCTTCAGAGAATCTTTAAAAACGACAAACTCTCCTTCCCGAGCAATAGCTACCCTATCCTCATCCCCGGGAGATCTAATATCACAGTTCGGTATCAGGCCGAACTCCCTAGCAGTCGCCACTGCTAGGTGCTCCTTAAACCTACACGGTTGGTCGGGGTATACTAATGGTGTCGAGATATCCTGAGCTCGAGGATTAGCACTTTTGGGGACGGCCATGGGTATTATTGACTATCCTAAGTCCTCGGTTGGGGTTCCTGAACTCGAGGACGACGTATCACTATCACTGCTCGACATCCTATCTTAAATTTAGACTTTTCTAAAAACAAACAACTTTAAGTCGTGAGGACTCACCTTATCCCGACGACTCCAACAAGGTTTACTGATAGTGAAAAAGTAAAAAATGAATAGGAAATGAGGCTTATATAGGGAAACATGGGTGGGAGGCCAAAGGTCGCATCCTGAATCGTTCGATCATGCCACGTGTCCTACATCCTAGGGTCTAAAAGTTACACCGCTTTTGTACTAGGGCAGGCGTCACTACCACATTTGACGTCAGCCCTCACGAATCCTTCCTCTGCAATGAATTGTCGGGGGTATTATACCGAGGATTGTAATTTTGATCTTTTGCACCTATCCTCATGCATATAAATCGAGCACAGGTACACGGGGGCCACTGATGTTACCAAATGTTGTTCCCGACGTATTGTATCCGAGGACTCTATTTCATCGATTTGTGTCTCAGTATGCTCAGGATATATGTGCTCGGGATGTCTTTCACTGCCCGAGCTCTTGACCCAAAAGTTCGTGGAACGTCATTCGACGTGTCCTTGGGATTATGACCTCGACATGTCCTCGGCGTCAACGCCTTATCCAATGAGAAATTTATTCTGACTTAAACTCCTCAACTTATGTTTCCTATGCCCAGAAGAACTCTATTAAATGATTGGTATCCCAGTTATACCACAATTCAAACTCCTATCTCGCGTAGGACTCATTGGTATAAGATTGCAAAATCAAGCTGTCCTATTACAAGTGCACTACGGAATCCTAGTATGAACACACCACCTACCTCTATAAATACAAAACCCTTAATCATTATTCAGGTACGTTTTACATAATTTTCAGTTCATTGCCTTACGCACAAATTCTCTCTCTGACTTAAGCATCGGAGGGGCGACAATGACATACCTCGACGCCTTTGTTTCAAGTATCAAAAGATCACGTTCGTGCTCGTTATCAGTCAAAATTATAATTTTACTCCTTTTAAAATTGGTCAAAGTCAATTTATTTGGTCAACTAACAATTAAACTAACAGAAACCATCCATTTGGACCTCGGGTGCTAATTTTTGAAAGGTTCGAGATTGTGGTGGTACAAAGTCTGCAAAAAAGTGAAAGGTAGGGGATCGCTGCTGCAATTTTTCCTAATTTTTATTTCTTGCATCATGTTTTAATTGTAGTTACGCTCATCAATTTTTGTTCATTATAACAATTTTTTTTTTGGTCCAATTTTTATCTTCAACCTTCCATTAATTAGTAATTCTCGTCTTTGATGATAATTTATATTAAAATATTTTTATTTTCATGCTTTGAAATGAAACAGAAATATTTCTTGTACTTGTTTATTTATTTTTGAAAAATATGATGAAAAATAAGTTGCTTTACATCATTTCAACGGACTTTTGGACATAAAATTATTGTTAGATACAAAATGTGTTCAGGAATGAAAAATTTGAGGATAAGAATAACATAAAAAAATTGTTAGATATATAAGTGTTATAATGAGTAAAAATTAAGAACTTTACAGACAATTAAAATATGATACAAAAAATAAAAAAATATATGCTATTTATTTGTACATAAAAAATGTTGTGTGAATACTGAATATGATTACCCTTCTCTTATATCTATCCATTTGAAGGGGGATCCTCATTAAATACTTTTTATATTCTTTTAAACTTTATATTTAACTAAAACCATAATATTCATAAGCCATCCACAATGTATATAATGCCTGTGAACTTTCATTTTGATTGGGCGTCTGTTTCTCCCCCAGTCTTGATTTATCCATACGTCTCCTCGGTTTTTATATGAAGGAATTTTGAATGTGATAGAGCAGCAGCTACCATCATAAATACAGATGAAGTAACATGTTGACCTGCTTCCACACCCCCACTCCCCCGGCCTACTGTTTGCTTGTGTACTGTATACTAATCATATTTTAATTTATTTTTTATTATTATTTTTTTTTTTCTAAAATGAAGGGTCATTATTATTCTTTCTTGGCAATTTAAAAATAGATTACCTTATCCCAATTAATATTCTTCAAGTCAACGATTATTTTGATTGATTTATTTTACAAGCTTTATATTTTTGTTCAAGTGGCGTGGCTTTTCTGTTGCAGATCAATAAAGTTCCTCGATGGACTAGCTCTATGTTTGTGCAGTGAGAACCGGAGATGGGTTAGCTCTATGTTTGTGCAGTGAGAAGCTCCAAAAGCTATGCTAATTGGGTCTGAGATCAATAGAGAGAGTGTGCCTTGATCTTAGTCACCTGGCTGGCTTCTTCCCCTCTTTCCCTTCAGTAGCTGTATTTGATTGGGAGTTTAGCAAAGTTTGCGAAATGGATAGTCCCTTCCAAGCCTGGTTTTAAGTATAATTTAGATGGAGTCAATTAAGGGATGATCCACTCGAACATCTCCAAGATTTGCCTAACTAGTCCATACTGAATTTCTTGCAAGTTATATGGGATAGAACTGAGCTTCAAAGCTGGAAAGTTTCTGAATTTGAAATATTAGAAACCTTGACGCATGTGATCATTGAGGAGGGTGTGCCATAAGGAATTGAACGTCTCATTGACGTAGAAGTGTTGGAATAATTTCATATGTGGGATTTACATTCAATTGCAAATTTTACGGGTTAGATGTACGGCTCATAATGATATTTGTGATTGGGCCAAATTTATTAAGTGATCAATTGGACATTTTATACCTTACGGGTTGTGATTTTAAACATGTGGATAGGAAATAAACTCTAATTAAAATCCTAGTCGTAATGAGGACGGCTCAATTATTTCCTTTATATAAAGGCTAGATCCCCTCTCCTCTCCATATGTTTTTAGTTTGCTCCATTGATAGCTAATACTTTGTGAGGAGCAAGGAGGGGAAGATATTGGCTGCTATTACAACTATCATTCAATAATGGTTTTCGCAAGTATTATTTGATACATACCAATTAATGAAATTCAAGTGAAATTTTAGTCAAATGTGATTGGAAATGCGCCAACGAAAAAATCTGCTTAAAAGTTTAGTCAAATTTGATTATAAATGTGCCAATGAACCAAAAGTCAAGTGAAATTTAATCAAATTTAATTGAAAACGCACCAATGAACCAAAATCATGTGAAATTTTTGTCGAATTTGATTGGAAACATGCCGATAAACAAAATTCAAATGTAATTTTAGTCAAATTTGATTTGATACGTGCCAATGAATAAAATTCTGGTAAAATTTTTATCAAATTTGATTGAAAATGCGCTAATGAACAAAACTCGTGGGAATTTTAATAACAAAAAAGGCGAGTTTCCATTATCCCACAACAAACCTGGCACAACTCGTATTATTTGTACGACAACTAAATGAATTTAAATAATACACTAAAGATTACACCAGTCTCCACCATACAAGGCTGCTGAATACATTGAGGAAATCAAGTTCGTTTCCTCTTTGAAAGATTATAGTACGTACTGAAGCAACTCAAAGTACAGCATTTGCTTGGTTTGGTTTACTAGAACACGTGCACTTTGTCTTTTTGTCCGTGAGAGTCTAAACAAGAAAAAGGAGAGAAAGAAATGAGCGTAGATGAAGTTGGTGAACAATTTCACGTGAATGTTAATCTTTTAAGTGAAGGGATTCGTTCGTTCAATTACCTCGACTTGTTTCTGAAGGTCTTTAATGTAATCAACTGCCAAATCTAACATATCAGCTATGCTTGTTTGCTGCAAGAAATGACACGGAAAATATCTAAATTTGTAGTGAATTTCAGTAAGGAAAAAAAAGAGCACTCACACAATTGAGGCTACAAAATCTACCTTGTCCATATTGGGAAATAGTTCTTGCAACTTTTTCATTCTTTCACTAATCCGTGTGCGTCTCATCTACAAATTAGGCAACAAAAATTTAAATACCATTAGAAGGACTAACCAAGTGAACTTAAATATGAGAGAGAAGAAGTTACCCTTTCTGCAATGCTTCTTGGATGAGTAGCGCAACCTCTTTTGGCCCGAACTTGAAGAGGAATGGTGTCTTGTTGAAATTGTAGATAATTTTCTACCGCAGCCATTTCAGCAGAAGTTTTTGGCAAGCTCAAATGGTGTGCTAAACCTTGATTATTACTTCTAGTTTCCACACTCTGAATTGAAAATAACATTAGCAATGTATGTAGTGTAAGGGAACAAAACCAAAATCGAAGTGCAAAAGAAGCAGCAGCCTACCTGATTTTCAGATCCACTAAAATTAGAAAACATCTTTGAGTCACCATCTCTGTTCCTTTTTAATCTGTTGAAGGAAGAATCGTTCCACGTGTCTTTTGGAAAGGCGGCATCATATTCTTTGCTATTAGCACTATTACCATTTCTCCATTGTCCGTTCTCGAGGTTAGTCAAGCTTGTGCCTTCGTTTCCATTTTCAGGTATGCTGGGCATGAACCTTGATCTAGAAGGTGCACCGGATGAGAAGTTCATGTAATTGTTCAGACCATTTGCGGATGAATTGGCTTCTGCACCTGTCCCATTACTAACTCTGTAATTTCCTGCTTCACCCGTTACACCATAACCTGGGATAAAACAAGAAGTTTTTAGCAATCTTCTCAATGATACCGGAAAACCAAGAAAACAACCTTCTGTTTAACTTTTAATAAATCAAAATACTACTGAGAGAACTGCTTTCAACATCTAATCTCATTGCTATCCGAGATGCTAATCAATTATTTTCTAACTTGAGTATTATGGTAAATAGTTCAGCCCCATAATCCTTTTTATGGCTTGTTTAGTAGAGCGGATTTGACAGAACTAAACATTTATTTATAATACAATCTAGTACAGTATTGTGTACTTTGCCCTTCGGGGTTTCAATCTAGTTGTAAGGTGATTAATAATCCATTTACACCAAAGTCAGGAATAGACAGATATTCATCATTAACAAAATTCTTTCCTACCCCTCCCTTCCATGGGATAACAACAACCAAAAACAAAGGTACCCCAGTCCCGCAGGAAAAGGTGAAAGAGAAACCATTTGCTGTAGAAAATTTCCTTCTCCCTAGTCCCTAATCAGATTATTCCTATGATGTAAAGAAATATTTATGGACGAACAATTAATCTAAAACAAGATTTAGTCATTTTTCTTATCACTTTCCTGAACTCTTCCTAGATCCAAAAATAGGCTAAAAGTCAACCATGGAGAAACATGGATCTATTCTACTTTTCAAGCTCAAAATTTCAACACAAAGTAACTAATTTAAACAAGTAATTCCAGGCTGAAATTAATCCAAATCCCAATTCAATCCAGCAAATTTGCTTATAAGACAAGCAAAAAAATCCATACCAGAAAAAAATCCAGCAGGAGAACTGCTTTGCCTAACAAGATTTGAGCAATTCCCAATTCCATTATTCATCCTCAGTCCAACTTGATTCTCCATTCCAACAGAATAAGATCCCACAATAGAACCCCCACTTTGATACATCACTTGTGAAGTAGATCCATTACAGAATCCATTTTCCCGGTGACCGGCCTCGTTTTCGACAC